CTTCCTTCCTAACCACCCACGCTCTGCCTTCCTTCCTAACCAACCCACGTTCGCCTGTCTTTCCTAATCCACCTACGCTCGAGCCTTCCTTCTAACCACCACGCTCGGCCTTCCTTACCACTAACACCCACGCTCGGTGCCTTCTTCCCTCACCCACGCTCTGCCTTCTTGCCTAACCACCCCCGTGTCTGCCCTTCCTTCCTAACACCCACGCTCGGCGCTCTCCTTCCTAAACACCCTACGTTTGGCTTCCGTTTCCTAACCACCACGTCGGCCTTCCTCTCTAACCACCACGTTCCTGCCTTCTTCCTAACACCCACGCTCGGCTTCCTTACCTAACACCACGCTTCTGGTCTACCTTCCTTATCTACTACCTGCCACGCTCTGTCCTACCTTCCTATTACCTACTCACCACGCTGCTGTTCTTACTTCCGATTTACCTACCCTGCCCCGCTCTGTCTCTTACTATTCTACCTAACTGCCCCGCTCCTGTCTACCAGGTTCCTATTTACGCTCACCTGCCGACGCTTTGTCTACCGTTCCATCTACCTACCTCCACTGCACGCTCAGTCTACCTGCTATCTCTCTACTGCCTCACGCTCTTGCCTTCGCTTACCTTAAGCCACCCGCCTACGGCCTATCCTTTCATTACCACCCACGCTTCCGGCCTTCATCCTAGACCACTTCACGCTCAGGCCTTGCCTTCCTAACCACCACGCTTCTGCCTTCTTCCTAAGCCACCCACGCTCGGCTATCCTTTCCTAACCACCGTACGCTTCGGCCTCTCTCTCTAACACCCAGCTATCTGCCTATCCTTTCTAACACCCACGCTCGGCCTTTTCCGTTTTCCTCAACCATCCCACGCCTCGGCCTTCCCTCCTCCTAACCACCACGCTCGGGCCTTCCTTCCTAACACCACGTTTCTGCTCTTCTAACCATCCACGGGCTCGCCTTCCTTCCTAACCACCACGCTTCGCGCCTTCCTTTAAAAAACCACCCACGGTTCTGCCTTGCCTGTCCTAACACCCACGCTCGGCCTCTCCGTTCCCTAACCACCCACGCTCGGCTTTCCTTCCTAACCAACCCACGTTCTGCACACTCCTTTCCTAACACCACACGCTCGCCATCTTCCTAAACACCCACGGTTCTGCCTTCCTTCCTAACCACCCACGGTCTCGGCCTTCCTGGTCCTACACCACCGTTCTGCCTTCCTTCTACACACCTCACGCTGGCTCGGGCTTTCCTTCCTACCCCACGCTCTTCTACTTCCTATCTCCTACCTGGCCACGCTCTGCGTCGTCCCTTCCTATCTACCTATCCACCCACGCTCTGTCTACCTTCCTATCTACCTACCTGCCCACGCTCTGTCTACCTTCCTATCTACCTATCCACCCACGCTCTGTCTACCTTCCTATCTACCTACCTGCCCACGCTCTGTCTACCTTCACCCTATCTACCTATTGTCCACCGCACGCTCTGTCTACCCTTTCCTATTGCTATCTACCTGCCACGCTCTGCCTTACTTCCATAAACCACCCCGCTCGGCCTTCTTCCTGAACACCATCGCTCGGCCTTCCTTCCTAACCCCCCACGCTCGGCCTTCCTTTCTAACCACCCACGTTCTGCCTTCCTTCCGTAACACCCACGTTCTGCCCTTCCTTCTAACACCACCGCTCGGCCTTCTTCTAACCACCACGTTCATGCCTTCGCCTTCCTACACCACCCAGGCGCCGTTCTGCCTTCCTTTCCTAACCACCCCGCTCTCGCTCTGCCTTCCATCCTAACCGCCTACGCTCGGCCTTCCTTCCTAACCACCCACGCTCTGCCTTCCTTCCTAACCGCCCACGCTCTGCCTTCCTTCCTAACCACCCACGCTCGGCCTTCCTTCCTAACCACCCACGCTCTGCCTTCCTTCCTAACCACCCACGCTCTACCTTCCTTCCTAACCACCCACGCTCTGCCTTCCATCCTAACCACCCACGCTCTGCCTTCCATCCTAACCACCCACGCTCTACCTTCCTTTCTGCCTTCCTTCCCTAACCACCCGACGCTCGAGCCTCCTTCCTAACCAACCCAACGCTCCGGCGTCTTCCTTCCCTAACCACCAAGCGCTCGGCCTCCTTCCTTAACCACCACGCTCTGCCTTCCTTCCTAAACCACCACGCTCGGCCTTTCTTCCTAACCACCCACGCTCCGGCCTTCTTCCTAACCACCACGCCTGCGCTTCCTTCCCTAAAACACCACGCTTGCCTTCCTCCGAACCACCCACGTCGGCCTTCCTTACCTAACCACCCACGCTCGGCCTTGCCTTCCGAACCACCACGCTCGGCCTTCCTTCCTAACACAACCCACGCTCTGCCTTCCTTCCTAACCACCCACGCTTCGGCCTTCCTTCCGAACCCACCCTCGTTCGGCCTTCCTTCCTAACCCCCACGCGTCGGCCTTCCATCCTAACCCCCACGCTTGGCCTTCCTTCCTAAACCACCACGCTCTGCCTTCCTTCCTACACCACCCACGCGTGGCCTCCTCCTAACCACACACGTTCTGCCTTCCTTTCCTAACCACCCACGCTTGGCCGTCCTTCCTTAACACCACGCTCGACCTCCTTCCTAAACCACCACGTTCTGCCTCCGGCTAAACCACACTTTGGCCTTCCTTGCCTAACACCCACGGCTCGAACCACCCACGCTTGGCTTTCCTTCCTACCTGCCCACGCTCTGCCTTCCTTCCTAACCACCCACGCTCTGCCTTCCTTCCTATCACAGCCTTCATCTAATCTCCCCAGTGCTGTCTACACTTCTACAGCTTCAATACATTCATCAGCGGCGACTTCAAAGTCACCGCGAAACCTTCTCTCATTTCTAAGCCTCCCTTTAGAGAGGGCTTCACTCGTATCTAATTTAACTATTGCAAGTGATGCTGTCCGCTACGCTTTGCTACCTATCCGCTACGCTTTGCTCCCTTTCTGCTACACTTCGCTACCTGTCCGCTACAGATCACTACCTATCCGCTACAGATCGCTACCTGTCCGCTACACTTTGCTAGCCTTCACATTGATCATCTGTCATGTGACACCCGGCATCCTGTTAGCCGCACGCACGTCGTTAGCGGCCGCCTAATCAACCGTGTTGCTGACAGACACGTACGGACGTAAGGTGCGGGGTGCGGGGACGTGAGACCCGGCTGTAATTGTGTGTAAATTGTGTGTGTGTGGACAGGTTGCAGCCGCGGCGAGGGCAGACGACGACCATGCTCGCGTGATGGCGTGAAGGCGTGTGCCGTGACGATCGAGCCGGCATCATCCCACGCGCGCGCGCGGTAGTATGAACGCAACGTCCGCTGTCTTACAGCATCTGACGTCTGCTGTGACGTCTGCTGTGACGTCTGCTGTGACGTCTGCTGTGACGTCTGCTGTGACGTCTGCTGTGACGTCTGCTGTGACGTCTGCTGTCTGCTGTGACGTCTGCTGTGACGTCTGCTGTGACGTCTGCTGTAGCATGACGGCTATGTAGGTAGAGGTGGCGCCTCCTACGTTCCTTGCTGTGACGTATCCTACACTCCACACGGTGGCGCCCCCTATGTTGCGAGCGGAGGCGGTCGCTCGCCACACACCACGCAGCGGCGACGTTGGTTGCCACGCCGACGGTACATCGATATGCGAGCGTCGTCTGCAGCACGACTCGCCGCGGGGCGAGACGCGTCCGTACCTCGCACGCGCTCACGCATGCCTCCGAATCACACCCCCCTCCCCCTCCCCCGCAGGATGTAGCAAGATACGATGATGATGATGATGATGATGATGAGTGAGGCTTGATTTAGCGGCCGCTGCCCCCAGGCCACGCAGTCATCATAATCATCGACGCTAATAATACGCCGAGATAAACAGGCTGTGCACAACAGGGGAGTAACAGGGGAGGGGGTGGTGCATCGACTTCCTCTTCTGGTGATATTGGGCGGGGGAGGGTAATACATGTGGGGCTGTCACATGCTGCCTGAGTACAGGTGACACAGTACAGGTAAGGAGATGGAGGCAGAGAGGGAGTGAAAGGAGAGGAATAAAGAGGGAGAAAAGATATGAGTTAAGAAAGAAAGAGGGGCAGAGAGGGGAACATAAAAAAGACAGAGAGAGGAGGGACGAGAGACAGAGAAAGGGAGAGAGAGCAAAAGAAACACACACAGACAGATCAAGAAGGAACGAAGGAGAAAGAGTGATAGAAAGAGAGAGACACAGAGAGTGCCGTAGAGAGGAGACATCCGATTATAATTCAAGCACAGAGACAGAGCAGTCCCTGATCTTCATGCGAGTTAGATGCAGACTCTCTCTCTCTCTCTCGCTCGCTCGCGTTCTCAGCGAGCTGCAGGGAGAATGCTAGCGATGTGTTAATGAAGCAGGAACGCATGCTGTTAATGAGGCGGCCTGCACCGCCGCCGCGGGACGTGCAGCACACACACACACGAGCAACGTCAACGACGACTATGCGCGTCCGTCATCGTTCTACGAGGCGACCTATCGTGACACACCACTCGCGAGACAATGCCGAGGGAAGGGGGGGGGGGTGATCGGTTGTCGCTCCCCGGACCGACATTCGTGAGAGTGAACACCGTCAGCGAAAGTGACAAGCGAATGTCCGGGGACGCACGATGCCCCGGGCCCCCCCGAAAGACAAGTCGGTCAGGCCGCAAGGTCAACCAGCAGGTGGTGGCAGTGTGTCACGAGATTCGCCCGGTGCATGCAGGCTCCGTGCAACGTATCGTACTTTGGCGGCGGCGATGGCGGCGGGGGCGCCACTTTACGCGGCATCTCGGGCGGCGTTTCCGGCGAAGATGCTGTCTCACTCGAGGGCGAGGGTGAGGGCGCCACCTTGCGCGGTGGGTCAGGCGAGGGCGCCACCTTGCGCGGTGGGTCAGGCGAGGGCGCCACCTTGCGCGGTGGGTCAGGCGAGGGCGCCACCTTGCGCGGTGGGTCAGGCGAGGGCGCCACCTTGCGCGGTGGGTCAGGCGAGGGCGCCACCTTGCGCGGTGGGTCAGGCGAGGGCGCCACCTTGTGGTAGCGCGTCGCTCGCACAGTTTCTTCCTCCTCACTACTCATGTCGCTATCAAACGGGTTCTTTGGCACGAAAGTCTTGTTCAGACGGACGGACACCTCTGGTAGCGCACTCGTCCTCATGCTCTCCTCCTCAACAGAGGGCGCCAGCACATCCTCAGGTTCGCTGTCTTCGTCGGCGTTCTCATCCCCAAAGGGGTTTTTGGGAGCTAGGATCTTACGGAAGAACGTTCCCGCAGGGCTGCGCCGAGAAAACAGGCGCAGTTACCACGGCAACAAAACCGCGCGAGGCTGACCCCATGAGATGGAAGTCACCGCAGGCAAGCAGAAAAAATCGCGCAAAAAACACAGATCGCGATCACGGAGAAAGTTACGCCAACAATGAGGAATGTCGTACGGTCGTCCGGTTATCACCAAGCGAACAGTCAGACGCACGAACGACGGCGAAATGAACAGCGATCGTTCTACAATAGTGAGCCTCACGTCGAGTATATTGTAGCATGCGATGCAGAACAAGAGGTCAACGTGAAGGTCAACGTGAAGGTCAACGTGAACGGGGAAAACTCTACGACTCTACTGGAACATTCCTAACATTCTTAAAACGATAATTTGATCAGGTGACGAGTGAAATTAGGAGGTTGGTGCCGAGGGAGAAAAATAACAATAAAATAAGTCGACCATTCAACTTCTGGAATGTTTTAAACTGGGTTCTGGCGTGTAACTGCCGTGGTCGGAGAGTGGAGTGGCAAGACTTACGATTTCTGAGTGATGGTGGCTAACTTGGAGTTGCTGGGCGCTAGCAGCGCTCCCTCGTTCCCCGCGCCCCCCATGAAGCGAGACTTCCTGGAGGCGGTCGACGTGACGGGCGCGTCCGGATCAAACTCCTGCGAAATATACAGCGAGAACTGAGAGAAGGCCATCGACTACAGCCACTACACGGTGACGCCATCTACTGGAGGCAAGATACACCAGGGCTATGAGGTTGTTTAGACTTGTGCTGCCCCGGTGCTATTTTGAAAGTCGTTTTCTGAATATTCTATCGGTAATAAGGATCAATAGAGTTTACTATTCTGCATTGTTCGTATAAGATAGATGACTTACAGATGCATAGAATGCATTGATACTACCATTGGTTTATATAAAACAAGTGCCGCGGAGCGACAGCGCTCATCTAACGTCTACTGCGGTGACTCTGTGGTGGAGTGGTGGGATTCTAGTAAACCCTGTTAGTCCCAAATGTGTTCACATACACGCCGAAACAGTGGAATGCACAGGGAATGCGGTATCAGGAACCTTCTCAAAGGAATGTTCGGTTGGGATCGTTATGAATAAGTTCGCCCATCGAGAATGGCGCGGTACGTTTAGCTGTCTTCAGAATTAAAAAGATGGAAGCTACCCATATTTACGTAGTAGCAACAACAATTTGCAAGCACAGAAATAGCGTAAGCCACTCATCCCATTTTACCTACGCAAGCCCTGAGCTGCGAATAGAGCAGCTGCCACCTGTAACCAATTAAACGCATGGCAAAAACTACACAGTACCACCAACACATGCCACTGGCCAGTAGCCCACTGCAGTGGGCATACGTTACACTGTAAACATACTGACAGTACGAAATGCCATAGAACATTATACGATTTAAGCGAGCATAAACCTTCTTATAACCAAATTAGCTTTATTGAAATTTCACTGTGACATTGTAGCCTGCATACATCCAGGCATGTATTAGATTACTACTAGCAAACCCGGCTAGTCGAATTCGTTCCTTAACAGACAGTTCAACAAATCATGGCCGTTAACCCTCCTCTTGAAGGTCAAAAGCGTATATTCTGACACTTACTCTACGCGCATGTCAGCAGAAAGTTAGATTTTCATGGTCCGTTTCATATAATGCCATAAAAAATGCCTAGGTCACCTGCTGAAACAAAAAAGTTCATTCAATCGCGTTCCGTCAGACCGATGTTCTCAGAAAATGTCTCCCAAAATCTGCCCTAGTGCCCATTGACCTTTACCTGTGAACTCAATTTCGGCCACATGATGGCTTTCCTTACCATGATGCCCTATACACCAACTATACACGAGCCTAGCGTCGAGCCCGTTTAGATTTGTGCCGCAATTGTCTGCAGTTCCTCCCTAACCTTAAGTTAAGGAGTGAAATGTTCCCCTTCTTTTACACCTCTTGACCTTTGACCTTTGACCCCCAGCTTCGACATCCCAACTCGTTTTCGGATTACCCCCCCACGTCCCGAATATCGTGACCGTACGTCGATCGGTTAAGATTTGTGCCCAACTGTTGACGGACGGACGGACGGACGGACGCTCGCACGGACGGACGGACGATCATGCGATTCTACAAGCTGCATCTGACTATGTCAGATGAGCTAATAATTATAAATTATGCTCAATAAAGTAGTCATGTTGACAGGATCACCAATTGGAGATTAGGATGAGATTCAGCTAACTTGTGGAAAATGCTTTCCAGAATGCCAGCAAAAGATCTAAATGAAATATACAATTTCAACATACATATTAATTTAGCATGGATCAAATTTATTTCGTCTATATTTATTTCTACCACGTTCCAAGTATTTTTATTGTTTTGGTATCATACTCCTTCATGCCTGCAGCCTAGGGAAGGCATCTACTTGTGATTTCCACCCTCAACTACTGCACGGTGACGCCATCTATAGGACATATAGGTCAAACATTCGAGTGCCTACCTCAAACACCGGCCAGTTCATCGCCATGCCAACGCCGTAGTTGTCAGACCAGTACTTTGCATCTAGGTGACTGTCAGCAACCTCAGTCGCCACTTGCATGTCCACGTACGCCATTTTGATTCTGAAGTAGAGCGAAGTAAAATTCACACTATTGGAATGAAATTCAGAAGAAATATATAGAGGGGGAAATATGATAGCACCCGCATACACAGTCACTAACGTACAGGTTCTGCATATGCTACAAGTGTGGGTCCACGTATGCATGCATTCATGTCTGCGTGTGCATATGTTTAAAATTTCACTCTCTAAAGAACCAAAACACCTGCAAGAATTGTTCAGTTCAAATTAGACAGCCTAGCTGCTTCTACGTCAAATCAATGCGCCGCCACCTACTTGGGGCTGCCGTCGAGATTCAGACATCGGTGTACATCCAGCATGGCCTTCTTGAAGAAGTCGATTCGTTTCTGCTCCATAGACTGACAGTGTTCGAACACCTGCGAGCAACGTCGATAGAAAACACTGAGACAGGCGCAGAGAATATACGGCGTCACCCGACTAGATAGATAGTGAAGAGTTTAACACATCACCATGTCATTCCTCACCATGTCATTCCTCACCATGTCATTCCTCACCATGTCATTCCTCACCATGTCATTCCTCACCATGTCATTCCTCACCATGTCATTCCTCACCATGTCATTCCTCACCATGTCATTCCTCACCATGTCATTCCTCACCATGTCACATCACATGTCTATTTTACCTGTTGCATGTCCAATCTGCTCGTCACATGGCCGCTACACATTTCGTATGCGTGTCAAGTACACTTCACACATCACATCATGTCTCCTACCTGTCGCATGTCGTCTCTACCTATCGCATGGCCACCATACCTGTTACACATCTTCCCAACGACGTGTCGCATGAGGTTTCTAGCTGTCGCATGGTCTCTGTACCTGTCGCATGGTCTCTGTACCTGTCGCATGTCCTCCATGTAACCCCCGTACCTGTCGCATGGTCCCTGTACCTGTCGCATGGTCCCTGTACCTGTCGCATGGTCCCTGTACCTGTCACATGTCCTCCATGTAACCCGCGTTCATGTCACATGTCCTCCATGTANGTACCTGGTCACACTGTCCTCGCCATGTAACCCCGGTACCGTGTCACATGTCTTCCATGTGTAACCCGCGTACCTGTCACATGGTCGCTCCATGTAACACCCCGTACCTGTCAGCATGTTCCTCCAGTGTAACCCGAGTACCTGATCACATGCTCTTCCACTTGTAACCCCGTACCCTGTCCCATCGCCCAGTGGTCCATCCCATGGGTAACCCCGCGCTTACCTGTCACATGTCTCCGCACTGTACCCCCCCGCGTACCTGTCACCATGTCTCCTCCAGTAACCACCCGTACCTTCTCGCGCCCCTCGCATGTCCTCCATGTAACCCCCCGCTACCTGTCACATGTCCCCTCCATGTACCCCCGTACCTGTCCACGCATGTCCTCATGTAACCCGCGCTTACCTGTCACATTGTTTATCCTCCATGTAACCCCGCCCGTGCCTGTACGCAATGTCCTCATGTAACCCTCGCTACCTGTCGCGATTGTTCTCCATGCTAACCCCCGTACCTGTCACATTGTCTCTCATGTAAAACCCGGACCGTACCTGTCACATGTCCTCCAGCTAACCCGTTTCGTACGCTGTCACTTATGTCCTCCATGTAACCCCCCGTACCTGTCAGCTGTCCTCCATGTAACCGCGGTACCTGTCGCATGTCCTCCACTGTAACCCGCGTACCCTGTCGCATTCGTCCTCCAATGCTACCCCGCCGTTACCTGTCACATGGTCCGTCCATGTAACCCCGTACCTGTTCACATGGTCCTCCTCCGATTACACCGCCACCCGCGTCACCTGGTCACATGGCTCCCGTCCATGTAACCCCCCGTACCCCCTGATCGCATGTCCCTCTGTCCTCCATGTAACCCGCGTTCATGTTGTTGAGTTCCTTGATCGTCTGCTCGTACTTCAGCTTTGTGCGCGCGCTCTCATCTGCCAGCTTCTCCACTCTCTCCTTCAACTTGTCCTTCTGCAGAGAGACAATGACAACGTTACCATGACAACGTTACGGTCACGACGCGTCACCGACGCACGCAGAGATGGCGACTTGTTGCTGTAAAACTTGCCAAATACTGTATACGCCATATTTTTCGCGTAGAGATATTTTCTCGAATTCAGACCTGACGAACAAATTCGCGAGCGGTTAATTTCACAGTCGGTGAATTCCCGAATCAGTGAAGAATGGGGTGTTGTTATTTTCGCGTGTTGTTATTTTCGCGGTCGGGGACGCGTTCACGAAATTCGCGAAAATTAAACCACCACGAAATATACAGCTTATACAGTATTCAGTGGCACCACGGAAACTAAAGAGGGCAATGATAGCACTTGCCGTCAGTATCATAGTAAAATCTAATCTTATCTATATAATATACTCCTGATATATATATATATATATATATCTATTACAAACAAATTAATATATGAAGAATTCCAATCATGCGCCATGTTTAATTGAGTGGAGCGACACGAAATGTGACACAGGAGA